TTTTTTATTGTTTTTTTTTTTTAGAAGAATCGCTCTCTTTAGATTCTCTTATTAACCTTAAAGCAGCTTTTAACTCCACCTGAGCAGAGAATTAGATCTGTACACAAAGTTAAAAGAAGCATAAGTGAAATAAAAAGCAGATAAAAGGAGTTTTATTGACAATATTTGGTGAATAATCTCTAAAAGTTTTCAGATTTTTTTTCTCAGATTAAAGTTCTCATTAAAAACACCAATAAGAGCAACATCCTGCATCTCTAGCTGCAGATTTATGACTTCAAAACATTTTAAAATGCACAAATAAAACAGATAAACCTCATTTGCTGCATCTCCAGCACCATTAAAGATGAATTTAGAGAGTTAAGAGTCAGTTTTGATGCCAATTTAAGACTTTAATGCTGCACAAGGCTTTTTTTTGGCACCATTTTGCATCCCTGTTCGACTGAAATTAAAGGTTTAAGAGGAAGAACTTTAGTTTCCTCATTTACTGTTTAACTTATTGGTAGCACCTGACGCTTTAATGTGCATTTTCTACTTTGGTGTGTTCGTCTAACGTCTTATTTATTCATATTCAGTCTTTCTGCAGAGTTCCTCCTGTAGGGATCATAAATTCTTCCTGTTCTGCCCTAAACAACAGCTTCCTTTAACAAAATAAAAGCGCATCAGGTATAAACAAGTTCCTGCCTCCTGCCCAGACTCAAACATCTCGACTAAAACCTTATAGAAAACAGAAACCAGATCCACGTTTAGTTCCTCCAGCTTGTGTCCTTACCGTAGAGCAGCCCCCTCCTCAGCCTCCCGCTGACCCCCTGCTCCCGGTCCCTCCTCCTCATCGCCTCCTCGGCGGCGGCCCGAGCTCCGGGCGACAGCTCCGACAGGTCCTCGTCGTCCAGGTCCAGACCCTCGGCCTCGTACTGGTCCAGAGCCGGGATGGCCCGGTAGTCCCTGAGCGGAGAGAGACGGCGTTAGGCGGCTCTGAGGCGCACACAGCCTGAGCGGGTTCGGGTCACTCGGGCTCACCTCTCCATCCCGTCTCCGATCAGCTCCTCCCCGTCCCCGTCCTCCTCCTCCTCGCCGGGCAGCGGGCCGTCGCCCAGCAGGCCCTCGGACTCGTCCTCGAAGGGGGGCAGGTCTCGGCCGGGGCTGGAGGCCAGGTCTCCGCGGCGGGAGGGTCGGCTGGGGCTGGTGGCCATGTGGAACGACTCGGAGGAATCCTGACGGGGACATGAGGGGAAGTCCGGGTTAGAGTGTTTGTAAGAAGCTCAAAGTTTGGTTCTATCTGTAGAACTGATGAGCAGCGAATCAGAACCAAACTGAATTATTAATATAAAGATATAGACGTTTATAGTTTTACAAAATGACCCAAAACTCCCTCAGAGCTGCAGAAAATAATCAATCAGGTCTAAAAAATCATTTTATTCTTTTAATAATCGACTAACTTTTGTGACGTTGCTGAAGCTTCGTTAGTTTTTGTCCAAATTTAATGATTAAATATCCTCTGTAATGAATACCAACAGGTTTTCTAATCTGTGTTTTTAGCAGCAGAATAAACTGAAAAGTCATCATCAGTGTGTTGTTGTTTTATTTACAGAAAAAGTTCACATTTTAGAAGCTGGGAGAGGAAATTTAAACGATTATTTCTTGAGACAATTAAATCAAAACATCAAACTTAGATAAGATCGAAGGATTGAGGTTGAATAAACATCTTTATATATTAAAAAGACTGCAAAAAACCCCAATAATGCTCAGTTAAATGTCAAAGAGAAAGAAAATCTGAAAATATTCACTTTTTCTTTTCTTAAAATGACCAAAGCTTTACTCCTGTTTTGTCATGAAAGCAGAGCTGCCATTTTAAAATGTTTTATTATCGTTATTATTAATGTTTTAGGTTTAAATTTTAGTTTGTTTTTAGTTAATCCTGAACATTAACTCTGTAAAACTGACTTGGCAGCAAATCAGGACAAAAAAAACAACAACATATTTTGTGTTTTTTGCTGAAGTTTGTCGTTGTTTTTATGCACAAATACAGAAAATATTCACATTTCAGGTGGAATCAGACAATTTAAACCTTTTTTCTTCTTCTTTAAAAACCTGTTAAACATCCTAACAGACCTTTAGATGTATTTATCCTTCATGAAGCAGCAGTGACGGCCCTGAACGCACCTCCTCAGCATCAACTGACTCACTGTCTGCAGCTCCAAACAAAACAGGACTGACACGTTGGGGATTTTTAGAGGAAATAAAGTCCAAATTCTCTCATTCCAGCTTCTTAAAATGCAAACAAATGTTCATTTTTTTGCATTTTAATGAGAGAAAACCTGAATGTCTTTGTTTTGTGGACCAGAAGTCGACATTAAACGCATCAGATGGATCAGATAAATGATAATAAAACAGTTAAAGCACATTATTTATGTGAGAAACGCATCAAAAAGTGAGTTTAATGCTCACTGATGAAGCCAGCTGAACACACAGACGGTTTTCTCTCCATCAGAGCCACAGAGGATCTGCTGGAGGATCTGCTGGAGGCCACATGGCGGCTCAGCTTCACTCAGCAGGAAACAAAACCCTGAACTAAACCCAGAATTCATCCCGCAGCCTAAAATCAGACTATTAGAGACAAAACCTGCTAAAGTCGGTGAATATTCCAGCTTTAAATCAGAATAACTGTGCAGCTGAACCCTGAACGAGGAGCCTCGAGTCTTTGTTGTGAAGCTAAAACTCAGTTTGCGGTAAAAACCCGCCGCTACAGAATCAAAACCGGCTTTAATTAACCTCCTGCTCCGTCTGCGGGTCATTTCAACCCGGTTCGGTTCGGTTCTTATCGCCTGAACTCACCGCCATCGCTGGTCTTGTGTCTCTTGTTGCTCCTTCGGATCAAACTGCTGCTTCTTCTCTTTCCGGCTCCGGAGTCGCTTTTCGCGCGAAACCACCACGTGACAGTGAAAGCCCGCGAAAAGTCATGAATATTCCAACAGGCGGGTGACGTCCCGCCCTGTGATTGGCTGGTCCGTTCCGCCGAGGCGGGGTCTCTCGCTGCGGGGTGCGTTCGGTTCGTTCACCGGACTCGGGGCGGCTGCAGAGGTTCCGACTGTGGTGGTTTGAGACGGTTCAGGCTGAGGAGGGAAACAAACGCACCTCCGGTCTGAGCGCCGGGCGGGGGCGGAGTCTGTGACGTGTGAGGCTTTTCCCGGGAAAATTTGGTGCCGCGTTCAAGTCCGCGTCAGTCTGCT